TACTGTGTGGATGGAGTCATCCAGAGATTGAGGCCTGTCTAGCATCTACATTAGATACACTAGGCACTAGCATCTCCTTCCTCCATTCCACCTAAGTTGGTTGCAGCAACTGTGTAGCTCGTGATTAGTCCATTTCTCTGGGACGACAAGTCACCTCTCCCCACTGGACAGTGGCACTGTTTGGTGTGACTGTAACTAGAGTGATTGAGCCAGGAGCACCACTGGGAGCTGTGGAGAGTAACACAAACCATATTGTAAGGAACTTGGGGATTATACAGTGCTTTACCTGCCTCCTCAGTCATTACAGTCACCGTGTTACTGACAGGACCACTACCAGCTCCATTAGAGGCTGTCACAGTGATGGTGTACCTATTGCCTGGCTCTAGTCCAGTTATTGTATGTCCAGTGAAACTACTGCTAGTCACAGTGATACTACCATCATCATTCAGATCAGAACAGACAAGTGAGGTGTCTCTCTGCCACTGGACCACATAGCCAGTCACCACTGAGCCACTGGGAACACTACCAGATATGGTGATGGTATCCGTAGTGACTGTTGGAGTTGAGTCGAGCACTGGAGCTGATGGAACTGTGGTGGGAACAAAGACACTGCACAATCAAAAGCTAGGGTATCTCTTCTTTTTTTCTTGCAAACAAACTGCCCTGGGTGTAGCTGTGGGTGTAGTTGACTTGTTTGCTTTGTCTGTACCCTGCCACCTCTTGTTGACACACACACACGCATGCAAGTTAAATACGTTGTTTTGTGGTGCTCCTGCATTCTTGCGTAAACTGAAAACCTACACATTAGTGTTTTGACATACCTAAACTAACAGTGGTCTGTACTGGTGCACTAGACAAGCCAGATGATGTGGCTACAATAGATGTGGTGTAGGTCTGTCCATTGGTGAGACCAGTCAGAGTGTAGCTGTTGGTAGAGCCACCATCAATATCCACATCACTGCCTCCAGTGAAGGAGATCCTGTAGCCAGTGATACCATCCAGAGGATCAGGAGGAGTCCAGGTCACTATGATACTAGTGGGACCATCCTGGACTGCTGTCACATCAGTGGGAGATGGGGGACCTGAAAGCGAAGCACCCAATGATACTATACCATTGGGAAGTATATAGGGACCTGAAGCGTATCCATGGGAAGTTTCAATTTGTAGTATTGAGGAAATCATGCTGTTGACCTGCCGACCTTTGGCTATAGTGACACTTTTACAACTATTAATATATTGAGTGGATTACTTTACTGCCCAAACTTTAAGTGGTTCACAAGCACTTGGAGAGTATATACCCGCAGCTCTGTCAACACTGAGAGTTAAACGTGCATCTATGTCCACATTTCACATAATTGGCGACCAAAAGTGAGCCTGTCTGAATGCAGGGGCACATACCGTAACACATGCAAAATATTCGAACTGCTTGCTTCACTTGCCAAAAATGCACTGCATTCCTCTAGTGTTCGTTGGTTAGCCTGCATGCCAAAACAGTGATTGGCGGACATTGTACCTGTTACAACGGTGCTAGATGATGAATCAGAAGATGGCTTGTTATTAGCCACAGTACAAGTGTACTGTCCTGCAGTAGTCACAGTCAGAGTGTGGGTGTACTGTGCAGTCACTGGGTCATTCAACACAGTCTCGTTTTGCTCTCCAATGATATTGACATTGTCTCTGGTCCAAGTGACAGTGGTAGCAGGTCCACCAGTGGAGATACAGGTGAGGGTCAGCTGGCTAGGGTCAAATATCAATCCTCCAGATATCGAGATGTCTCCTACAGTAAAGAACCAAACCCTAAGGGTCCTAATTGCTAATCAGCGAAACATAGTAACTTTAAGTGAGTGAATGAGTTTGCTGGAATAGGCATGCATGTGGACAAAAGAGGAGAATCATAGATGTATTCATGCCTTTTAGCTATCCGATGTCTAACAAGGAAGGAAGTAGCTACTAATAATCAATACCTCCACTGGCAGTATACAGTTCCACATAGACTGTGTCTCTCACTGAGATGTCACTATCATGGATAGCATTAGTTGGAATATCACAGCGATAGATGCCAACTGGTGAGTTGGCATTGTTCCTACGACCTATACCAACTCTCTGAGCACCACGGACCTCATAGATATCACCACCTCCAGCAAATGGCAGTCTAGTTCCAACAGGGAAATACCAGTCTCCACGATTGATACCCTGAGCACCACTACAACATGTGCCCAGGTCAGTATGACACTGAACACTGTCACTACCACTGAAATCACTCCCCACTTGACTGATGTCCACATAGGAATTGTTGGCCAGAGTCTGGCCCATGAAGGAGAGACGGGGAAAGGTCTGAGAGTGGACCTCCACCAGAGACCAGAGGAGACTCAACAGAGACACAATTCTCATCATTGATCTGTTGCACATCACTCACACCACCGACTGAGCAACTGAGTTGACGCCGGCTGATGGATAGTGCAGATAAGACACTCCATATATGGAAAACAGAAAATTCCAGGCATACTTTTATCAATGCGCTAGCAGCTTTATAATAACAAGATGTGTAATGTCCAACAATAGTACACATAAACTACATTGAAACAGATTTAGTAGAGAGAAAGTCAGTCATGTACTGGTTGCAGAGGTCAGGCACATCTTGCTGGACCCAGTGACTGCAGTTGGGAATATGTCTGGAGAGAGAGAGAGAGGAGAGAGAGGGAGAGAGAGGAGAGGTAAACACTGGTCATACAACCTAATCTTCCACTAACTTCACAGTCAGGTCAGAGCAGATGGTGTCGTGGCAGTCTGCCATCTCTCTCTGCAGCACGTGATCATCATCTCCCTGTACCAGCAGTTACACACACTTAGCTACCAATAATACTACTAGGCACTCGTCTTACAAACCATACTGTTAAAATTTAGGAATATTTTCTAGAGCACATTCGTTCTGTATAGAGCACATTGATTATAGGGCTCTTGGGATCTCTATGTTTGTTATATACGTACCCATATGATGAGAGTTGGGACAGAAATTGTCCACTTGTTACGAGGCAAGCTGTCCTTGGGAGATGAGAACATGGCACGATAGTAGTTAATGGGTCCAGTGAGCCCTCCGGGCCTGGAGAATGTGTACTTGTAGGCCTCCACCACTTCAGCCGGGAACTGATCTCTGTTCTTGACTCCCTAGAGCAGGCAATATGCAGAAAACACTTTCTAGACCTTTGAGGAGAAATCAGTTCGGTGCTAAGATTGGCAGGAAAAACTTCGGCAGAGTGTGAATGAAGACACTTATGCATGAAGGTACCTCAAACCTATAGTTTACCTCTTTCTGCTATAGTAAGTGTCATTAGAGAGTTTGAGGCTCTCTGACCACTCACAAAGTATGACTGTGTTTCTTTCTTACTGTGTGTTCATTTTCCATTTGTACTACTGTTATCATAGTGGGTGTGGGGTGGTTGACACAGTGTATCTTCTACGAGTGATACAAAAACTATGTCAAATAGCAATTGAAAGAGCAATCTTAAAAAACGAGTAAAAACAAAGGTGAAGACAAACAATAATACTTCAGCTACACGTCATTTATACACACAGAGTGTCAGTGTCAGACAGGTTCATAGAAGTGGTCTCCAGCTGCAGGTCGGGACGAGGAGGTGGGTGGAGGAAGGTTTTGTGGTACTTCATATTCAACTTCAGCTGTCCTTCCAGTCCCTCTCACTACATTGTAGGCCTCATTACTGGTGGTCTGGAACGGACTTCTGTGGAAAAGACGAACATGTATTGCATGAATCGTCATAATAATAATTACTAGTAGGGGAATGCATGGCATTTTTGGCGAGCGGAAGCGCGCTTACAATTGGGGTCTAATCGTATGAGTCACTCTTGTGTGTGCACAAAACAGTGAGATACATTGCACAGGACCAAGTAGGCCGAAACGACCCGAGCGCAGTAGACAATTCGAGTCGAGTCAAAAACAGTCAGACGACAGCGCGAATCAGGCATAATCCGGCAATCTGATTGGTGTTGCAGGAATAGGGAACAAGTGGCAATGTAGAAAAATCTCTCGCTGGACTGTGCAGCAATACTCGATAGCTTCGGAGGTGTTGCGTTTCCCCTGATTCCGCTCGATTCTCAGGCAGCATTATGAAAATGTTGAAATCCCTTTCGGATAAAAAGAAGCGCGTAATGCTGGAGCATGCGTAGTTGGACGACGTACGGGTACATCAGAGAGTCGGTAGACTCTCTATATAGGGACGACACGGGTGAAATCTCACGTGATCCGCGTACAAAACGACTAAAAACTCGGTGAGAATCACTCCCTAGGCCTTCAAAACATACTAGCAGTAGTATACGGGCCCATATCTACCTATACATGTCCCCCAAGACCTCATACGCACCTTCAGTCGTCCACGCGAGAATTCGCTCATACGCGATTTCACGATTTTCGTGTCATCATCATATTCTTCATCTTCTTCTTCTTCTTCTTCTTCTTCTTCTTCAGACCCGCTAGCTCCTTACCGGAAGCACTTGAAGCGTTGATTTTTTCACAGAACGTCTCCGAATTTGCCGGAGGTGTGCACGCACATCAAGCGATCGTTTGTTTCTTGCCGCAAGTCACTACGGTAGATCGTTGAGCTCTTCCTCGGTAGTCACTGAACAACGCCATTTGCTGCTAACTCAGCATCAGTGAGCCGCATGCGCAGAGGAGGGCGTTTCCCAATGCGGTGCGCGCGCATTTTGTCTGGTCCACGAACGAGACTAAGCCAGGACTGGATGCCTGCAGAGAAAACTACTCTCATCCTCCAGTGCCTTCTGTAAGTCAGTGTACACATTTGTATCTGGCTAGCTTGCGTTTTGCTGTTGATTTGCACGAGGAGCAACTTGGCAATCTGCGCCGTGTTACGCGTGCCGCCTTCATTCTTTGTTCCCCAGGTTATAGCTATCATTGTAGTCTGATTTCTGAAGCCTGCCCAATGAAACCACCACCATATGTGCCACAACCTAATGCGTCCTTGTTGGAGACACTACGCATACACCCTGCTTCAGGTAAGAGCAGTCCATTAGCTTCTGCTTTCAACAGTTATCTCTACAACATAGCCATGAACATCAGAGTGACTGAGTGTTGTCATAAGCTGTTAAAAATAGTGGAAACAAGTGGAAAAATCATTTCTTCAAAATGAAAGTGGGATATAGGGATGACTTGAAGCACCAAAAAGGAAGAAACAAGGGGTCATTACACACCAAATATGCACAAAGCCACATGACACCATCCCTATATCTTTGT